TTAAAAACTCAAAGCAGATTTTACCCTCTCTTAAAAATGGGCTCCGATCAAATCCGGAAGTGATATTGGGAAGGAGGGAGTATTTCATGGAATGCATTTAGCATGGTTGATTTATTAATTTTTCTATCAATGGTAAAATAATTAATTTTGGCATTTCATGCACTTTTATAAAATTAATAGCACTTTTAGTAGCATTTTTGGCCTTTTAGTAGCACTTTTAATTAATTTTGGCCTTTCATGCACTTTTATAAAATTAATTTTATTAACACATACTAATGAGGTGCTACTAATGATTTATTAATGTTTCTATCAATGTAACCTCCACCATAAAAGTGTACTAATGATGATCATTAGTAGCACCTCATTAGTGTGTGTGTTAATGGTAATCATTAACATGTCTGTTACGCTATGCTCTGTTTAAAATTTATCTCGTATTATTAGAGATTAATGGTCACTTAACTCCGTAAAAGTAGAATAATTTTAAACATTGCACAAAAGTAATAGAAGATTGGTTCAATAAAAGTATGCATGTGTATGCATCAACCATACTCTTCTATTTCATGGGTCAATTTTGAGAATCAATTTCTCATTCATTGTCTACCATTTTTGGCGTAAGAATTATCAAAAATATTTATCTCATTTAAGAGAACATACGTTCATTAATTAACGGCTAAAACCGTTTGTGGACCTATTGATAAATATACCCAAGTTGATTCATTTAATATCTATTGAAAATGTCAAAAATTCCAACGAGTATGGGTTGGGGAGAGCGATTTATCGAAGGGTTAGAGGCAGTAAAACCATCAATTTTGTAAGATCACTCGAAATACTAAGGCTTCAAAACATCTCTCTCCACCGCATCAACTTTAATCTTTCTTTAACTTACGTTACACTTAATACCATGCTTCAAACTGGAGCTTCAAATCTTTATTTTTAAAATTTTAATATAGAATATATAAATTAAAATTAAAAAGTTTTCATAAATAAAAACATAAATAAAAATTACATTACTTTAAATAAACATAAATACTCCCTCCGTCCCAAAATGACCATTCCACGCATTGGATAGTTTTTCCATTTCCAATGGATGCAATCAATGCTCCCAAGCATATCTACAAAGTCGTATTTAGCGGCATGCCTCGCCTGTAACTGCTCAATGTCGCTTGTCGTCAGCTTACGTAAATACCTCTTATCGTACAGTCGAATAATAGTTTTAGAGAATATATAAACCCAAGCTATGATGTTTCGAGCAGACATCTTCAAGTATTCCTTGAACATATCACTTGTAGTTCTGCACGTCATTTGACACAGCGCGACGGTACACTCTTGGACGCTGCTAAAATCGGATCAGCCTCTTGCATCAAATCGTTGTGTGAACCAAGGCATCTCGCGTTCAATATCATATAGTATTCTTAAAAACAAAGAATGGCTCATTCAAAAATAATTACTACAATCATCAAGCATGTAAACACGCAGAGTATTAAAGTAATTGTTGAGCAGTGCTTCGAGCACAACTGTCCGGTCACGATTTAAATGCTCATGTCAGATTGAGCGTCTATACAATTCTACTTTCTCTTGTTGTTCTTGTTACCACCACTAATAACATCCAGTTGAGAAAATACAAAACATGAATGCTTTTTTTTCTTCGTAAGATGAAGATAATGATGCAATTTTTTTAGAAAAATATAGGGTTCTAGGGAGAATGAGAATATTTTTTGAGTGAGTAGTAGAGAAAATGAGAATATATTTTGGGTGTATGTTTATTTAAAAAGAGAGGGTAATTATAGTTGAAAATGAAAAAAAAAGAAATATTTTTTTAATATAGCCAACGATGACTTTTTTTAAAAAGTGAACTGTTGCTGCACGCCGACATTCTTCTGCGTCAAAAGTTTAACACCACAAACTTCACGTTTGAATAACGCACGAAGGGATAGTGTTTAGCACTATAACAGCGTTAAACACCAGAAAACGCCCTCATTTTTAAGCATTTCCACTGTTCTAAACAGAATACTTAACCAACTTCTTCCATCAAAGAAATGATGTATATAAGCAGCAAATTACTCCGTATTTGTGAAAAGTAAGGTACTTTCTCTCTTCCCATAAAGATGCACCCTTTTAGAAAATTTAGGTGAGTGATATTTTTGCGTTGACTTTTTATACATATCTTTGATGTGATGAATAAAAATATGATGTAATGTGTAGATTATTAGAAAAAAAGTATGATGTGATAAGTAGGTTAAAAATTAGTGGAAGTAAAAGTAGTTTTTAATTGAAAAGAAAATGGTTTTGTGGAACAAGAAATAAAGAAATGTTAAGGAGTTTTTGAGAGAGAGAGTTTTGCTTTTCAAATATGAGCAACAAATTAATTTTATACCGGTGATGTAATATTGTAATAAAATTCAAATCAAATGACCAGGAAAAAAACACTAACCATGCTAGGGGTAAACCAAAAAGTATATCTCAAGTTGTATTCCAAAGAAATGCACCAATATTTTTACGGTTCATACGGTCACAAAATGTTAGTTCAATTTTAAAAAATTGCATTGATTTTGATGTCAATGTAAACTATTACACTAACATCACACTAGTACAAATGTCGGTGCATGCCTTTGAGGTATAAAATGAGGTACAAATTTTGGTATACAAATAGCTTAATCTAAAAAACACAACCGATCCTACTGCACTACCAAAACAAGAAAGAAAGAAAAGGTTGCCTTTTTACGAAAGAAAAGGATTAGTCTGTCCGGCTAGATTGTCTTAGAAAGAAAAGGATTTGGCAAATGCAAATTATATTATACATCTGGCTCTACCCAAAATTGGGTACAACCGATAAAAAGAAACGAAAGAAGCAGGCACAATCGAAAAAGTTTGGCGACGGAGAAGAGGAGCCGATGAAGGGAGGGCGATGATTGAAGAAGTTCGGCGAAGAAGAGGTACACCGACGACAAACGAAGAACGCGGCGAGAATTCGAGATGGCAAAAATAATTGAGGAGGGAAGATGGTGGCAGTGTTACAGATCGGGAAGGCCGGAAACCCTAGGTCTGCGTTATAGATCGGGAAGACCTTGTGGAAACCCTAGGTGTGAAGATTTACAGATGTTTGAATGAATTGTTGAGTGTTACTTCAAAGTCCCACTTCGGTGGGATAGGAAAATTGAGGAGGGATTGAAGCCTATAAATAAAGAGGGTATATAGGCTTCCATCACACAACACAATCCTGTAATCTATGTAATTGTGTATTAGATTTTAGGTTGTGAGTGTCAAATATTGGAGAGGGTTTGTAATTTTTCCGTGCAAAAATTACTAGTGAGATTTTATCCCAGAGGGGGTCGTGGAGTAGGTCTTGAGGTGCCGAACCACATTAAAAATTGTGTGTTCTTTTTTTCCTTTTCTTTCCATTTGTTTGGAGTGGGGGCCAAACAAGTTGTATCAGAGCCAAGGTGATCTGGTAATTATAATTCTTAGTATGCTCTGTGGTTGCAGCTTTGACTGATCTTCCACATCAGAAAAGAATTATTAATTACAGAACTGCAGTTTAGGGAGAAAGGAGATAGAGCAAGGAGCAAGAGGAGGGCGTGCCACTTCAGTAGAGGAGGTGGTGGTCCAGTCAGCAGAGGTGGGTCCGTGAGTGCCACGTCGGCAGTCTGTGGGTCCGAGTGCCACGTCATCATCCAGTTAGCGCCACATCAGTAGGTCCAGTCATCGTGTGGGTCTCGCTGGTGACTTTCGGAGAGAAGTTGGTTCTGACTAAAAGTTTGAAGTTCCGTTATTTGATGGAAGAACGGACTTCATGTTGTGGCAATGCACGATTCAAGACTATTTGGTCCAGCAAGGTCTTGATTTAGTATTGCAAGATGAGAAGCCAAGTGATATGAAAGAATCAGAGTGGAGTACAATCCAGAAGAAGGCTGTCAGCACAATTCGGTTGGCACTGTCCCCACAGATTAAAGTGACAGTGCTGAAAGAGACATCACCAAAGAAGTTGTGGGAAACGTTGGAGAGCAAGTTTGCGTCGAAGACACTTACTAACTGGTTGATGATGAGGATGGACTTGTACTCACTGAAGATGGAAGAGGGAGGTAGCATAATTGATCACATCAACAAGTTTAATGAGCAAGTATCAAGGCTGTTAAATGCAGGGGAGACTATCAAGGATGAAGAGCAAGGGCTGCTTCTACTGGCTTCTCTACCAAAATTCTTTAAGCCGTTTGTGCAGTCAATGATAGCAGGAAGGACTACACTGCGACTAGATGAGGTGACGACAGAGTCAAAGGATGATGGGAGGTGAAGAGTCTTCCAGGGACAATCATTTACTAGCTGCTGTGAGTGTCGAGAAAGGGAGGAAGAAGAAGAGTGACCAACTTGGGAGAAGATCTCATCTGAGAGACATGAGCACTGTTAGGTGCTATTACTGTGAAAAGTTGGGTCACACGAAGAACAGTTGTCCAGAACTCAAGGAAGACTCGCAGATCCTAAAGGAGAAGAAGGGCAAATCGAAGGAAGCTTCTTTCGCAAATGTGATCACTTATGAAGATGATCTCCTCTGAAGATAAGAGTACTGCTGGACAGAAGATTCTGCAGGATGGGAGTATCGCTGCAGAAATCGCAAATGATGTAGGACTTTGAATTAAGGGGAGATTTGTTGAGTGTTACTTCAAAGTCCCACATCGGTGGGATAGGAAAATTGAGGAGGGANCTTCTTTCGCAAATGTGATCACTTATGAAGATGATCTCCTCTGAAGATAAGAGTACTGCTGGACAGAAGATTCTGCAGGATGGGAGTATCGCTGCAGAAATCGCAAATGATGTAGGACTTTGAATTAAGGGGAGATTTGTTGAGTGTTACTTCAAAGTCCCACATCGGTGGGATAGGAAAATTGAGGAGGGATTGGAGCCTATAAATAAAGAGGGGATATAGGCTTCCATTACACAAAACAATCCTTTAATCTATATAATTGTGTATTTGATTTAGGTTGTGAGTGTCAAATATTGGAGAGGGTTTGTAATTTTTCCGTGCAAAAATTACTAGTGAGATTTTATCCCAGAGGGGGTCGTGGAGTAGGTCTTGAGGTGCCGAACCACGTTACTTAAGAATGAATACCATTATATTTCAGAATGAGTATTTGGTGTTATTTAGAGAAATAACTTAAGTCTTAACCAAATATTTTATCATTTTGTATGGTATTTGTATATGAATATTATAAGCTCTTATTCGAGAAGTTTATTTAGTCTTACAAAGATCAAACCTTGGGCGAAAATCTTAGCAAAGGTGTCCATATGGGTAACAGGCAAAGTTACGCCAAATTCCCTACCACCGCCGCCGCCACCTTCTTCTTCTTCGATGCGGCTAGCACCGATAGAGATGGCCCCTGTTATATCAATGGACGGCATTTCAAACTTCTTCCCTTTTCCCCACCCAAAATCCAGCCCATAATAGTCAAAATTAGGCGACCCGGCCAGGCTAAACACCCGATCGGGCCTCATGCCCGCAAACATCTTGAACCAATCTTCAGCGCCTTCGAACAATCCATCCCCTTCCCCGCTGTACAATCGGCGGCGTACGCTGTCTCCGATCACGGCCGCCGCCTCTGCCAGCCCGTCCTCCCCGATGAGCTCCCCGACCTCCGCTTTACCAAAACACGCCGTGAGACAGTTGCCGAAATAGTTCCCCGGCAGCGGCGGGTCCAAACGCGCCCGGCAATCCGCTGCACAGAGAAAAAGCTCGTCGCCGCTATAAACTCCGCCGACCTCGTGTCGAGATCGCACCAGGCAATGCCACACGTACGCGCAGGCCACGGTGAACGATGACACGTGTGGGATGTCGGGTCGGCGAGCCAGGATGCGGTTCTTGAGCATCTCGATTTGGTCGGAAGTCAGGGTAAACGTGGCCCGAACCTTGCCGGCGATCGACGGGAGCAAATGAAGGCTGGTTTCATGGATCTTGATATTCTTCAAGCTGTCCCAGAATATCTTCCCCAGTCCTCTCCGGTCTGTGATCGGCCGTCGGTCGTAAACGGGTAAAAACTGAGATGGCAAATCTGAAATAGTTGACGGGTTTGGGTTAGAAGAAAAGAAAGCCCAAGACTTCATGAACCCGAAGATGCTGCGGGCGTCACCGACGACGTGGTGGTTGGTCACGCCGACGCAAATCCCGACATCGGGAAATAGCGTCACCTGCAAGGCCAACAAGGGGAGTGAGAATCCGGCGGCCGGAGACTCTGTTGAAGCAGCAGGGGGTAAGCTGGGGACGAGAGGATGAAAAAGAGAGCAACTTTTGACACCATCCGACACGAGGTGCTCGAAAACGCGTTCGCTTGAATCCGACACAGCGATGACCAGCGGGACGGTGTCTCCAGGAGCGTAGCGGATCTCCGGCAGGACGGAAATGTGGGGGGAAAGAATCAATCTGCCGGCCAAGGGGGTGTAGTGTTGAAGGGATTGGGATAAAGAGGTTTTGATGGCGGGAATAAGGGTGTGTAGGAAGTGGGTTCTTGAGACGGGGTTGGGGTAGAAGAGGAGTCGGTGGACATGGGGTAGGGGTAGCCACATCATATCGAGGAACGTGAGGGGAAGAAGAGTGGTTTCCTCGGTGGATTCCGGCGGTGGCGCCACCGGAATAGTGTCCATGACGGTGAGGTCTAGGGGTTGGAAAATGCCCATAAGTTCTAATTGTTCGGTGAGTTTGGTGTTTGTGGCTGTCCAACTAACCTAAGGTTTTATATGCTAAATTGCAGACATATATATATATGGAGTGAATGTTATAAAGGATAAGAATAAAGTTAGGTAGATCCAAAGAATATTGTAGTGCATATTTATCCTCTTCCAACGGGGGGGCATATACGTGTGCATTTCAGTACAAGGACAACACAACTCATTATTCATTTACAAATTCTTCTAGAGCTACATTTTACTCTGCATTAATTAATCAACCGAAAATCTGGGCAAAACCGGGGCTTGCACTGATTCAGACCTCCCCATTTCAAACTTGTTCCCTTTACCCCCCACCCAAAATCCACTCCATAATTTGGCGACCCGGCCGGGCTAAACGTCCGATCAGGTCTCAGGCCGTCAATTGTCTTCACCCAATAACCTTCCGCGCCTCTCAACACTCCGTCCTCTTCCCCGCTGTACAATCGGCGGCGTATGCTCTCTCCCACCGCCCTTTCCAAGCCCGTCTTCTCCGATCAGCTCCCCGGCCTTCGCGTTACCAATGCAGGGAGTGAGACAGTTGCCGAAGTAATTCCCCCCCCCCGGCCACCGCCCTTTCCAGCCCGTATACTCTGCATATTTGAAAACACTCCGTACTCATTTTCCAAACACCCGTACCTGAATCAAGTTATTAAAATCAATAATTGTTGCAGCTCGCCAATAAAAAACAAGAAAAATACTATGGCAAACCAAAATAAAATGCAAGTAAGGCTTTGTTGTTAAAAAATTGTTTTGAACTCAACAGGACTAAAACATAAGTCATTTTCCAATGTAGGACTTAAACTTTTTTATTTCTTAAATAAGACTTAATAATGACTAATGAGAAGAATAATGTCTAAGTCATGCTGGACATTTAGTTGAATAATGTCTAATAGATAATGATCAATGGTCATATATTGTGAAATAAAAATATATGGTCCTATATTGAAAAAGTTATTATGTTTTAGACCTATTTAGGTAAATTATTCTATAGGACCATATGTTTTTATTTCTCAATGTAAGACTATTGATCATTATCTATTAGTCATTATTCAACTAAATGTCTAGCATCACTTGAGATTATTCTTCTCACTAAACATTATTAAGTCCTATTTAGTGAATAAAAAAATTAAAGTCCTACATTAGAATATGACTTATGTTTAGTCCTATTCAGTTCAAATTTCACTAGAAAAAATTGGAAAGAGTTAGATTATGTTGAAAAAAATTTAAGTGTTAAAAATACTTATTTATATGATAACTCAAATAAATATGCATGAAAATTCAAATTTTAGATAAAAAAGAATTTATTATGAAGAATCTAATTATGATATTTGCCTTATTAAGTTTAAGTTTGAAAGGTAAGTTTACATATTTTAAGATGGTATTTTAACCAAATTATTAACTTAACTTTTATGAGTGACCACTAGACTTAACTTAACTTAACTTTTTGTTGAGATTTTAATTCTCTATAATTTGTATTAACAGAATATGATGTGAAAATATTTAATTAACATGATAAAATATGATATAATTCCATTAATTTAATTGAAAATAAAAATATTTTAAAAAAAATTGTAATGGCTTATCGGATAAAGTTGTGTCCTTTAAAAATAGCAATTCTAGTGTCATTTTCACACTTTTCGTTGTTTTATTTTGGCGGGGGGAATTTTTACTAAATTACTACGTATCAAACCTACCATTTACTTGTCTGCTACATTGTAATTCAATTTTTTAGTGGATTGTCAAAAAAATTAGGAAAGATAAATGGAAAATTGTTTGGCGTGTCATTTCATGAGAAAACTATTAGTACGTTATCAAAAAAATTGTATTGCATGCAAATCAAAGTTCGTAGCAAATATTTTATGATGGATATTACAGGTACAAAATGAAATGAATAGTCATCATCAGTTATATCCTCGCATTACCAAACGTGTTCAAGCCAGTCTAAACATATGGAATGAAGTATGTATGATGAATAAATTAGCTTTTCAGACATAAGATCTCACGATTAGAGATGTAAACTCTAGAAATGAACCATTTGGAGGAAAAATATTATATTCAGAGATGATTTTCACTAGACCCTTCTTGTTTTGCCCGTAGCTTCAAGAGAGAAAATTGTAGGTGCTACATATTTAATTTCTCAAATATTAATTATTCTACTTTGGAGTTGATCTCTATAGTTTTAAAATTAAGAAATCTCCCTGGATAGGAGTAAAAAGTATGAAAATCCCAAAATGTGAGTTCTAAGTCTTTAAAGATCAAAATAGGAGAATAATGCCAGTGACATGTAGGAGTACGTGTTGGCTGTGCGATGGAAATAAAAGTCATGATAATGTAATATATCAATGTGATCAGTCAACCGTCGGCAATCCGCGACGAAACTCTGCTGGCAGTGGTGACGGATGACGGTGTGGCGGTGATAGTATGACTCTTAGTTTGATATTTTCATAGTTTTTTAGTCCTATCTGTGGAGTTCCCTCTTTAAAATTTTGTGTTTAAAATATATTCTCTTTATTCCTAAATATATTGCATTAAAAAGTTCGGAATCAACAAAAAGTTTTGGCTAATCTCGTGTGTCGCACGGTTAAAATACTACTCCCTCCGTCCTATAATGATCTTCCCGATTCGCAAAACGAAGAAAAATCTCAAGTTTTTTCAATCTATTTTATTTAAATATTGGTATAGAAATAAAAAATAAAACATACATATTTAAAAACTACACCAAAAGTTCAACAAAACAAGTGGTGACAAGAATATTTTATTTTATCATATAGGCAATGAAAAAACACAAATAAATATAAATTCCCGTGAAGTTGGAATAGTGCTCTGAGAAGATCATTATAGGACGGAGGGAGTACTAGTAGTGTTTTGAATAAATTCCATAAATATTTCCCAATTACAAATTATTTTTTCATATTTAGTCACCAATTCTTAGATATTTCATAAATGGTCCTCAATTTTAGGAAACGATTTCATAAGTAGTTCTTTAGGCCATATATGAGAGAATATGTTTTCTAAAAATAGTCCTTGAAAAATCGATTATGGAATAGTTTTTAATAGTTGGACCCCATTTATTAAATATCTACGAATTTGACACTAAATATAAAAAATTAAGTGTAGTTAGAGATAATTTATGAAAAAAATAACACCGGAGCGTCTAGGCCAGCCATTAAGTGAGAAGTGAATCAGTGACCAACGGTCGGGATGGAGCGGAGCACTCCCAACGTTCCAATATTCACTCTCAACGGTCACTAGACTTTGAAAATACAAAAGGCCCAATTATTCATCTCTCTCAGTCAGAATTCAAGAACGGAGAAAGAATCCATTGATCTCTTCCTTCCTCGGGAAATTTTCGAAACCCATAGGAGAGAAAATGAGTTCTCTGCAATACCCACAAGGGTTAACCCCCTCAGATGTCCAGATATGGAACAACGCAGCGTTCGACCATGGCGGTTCTGAAGAACTGGGGCGTTCTTGGTCTCCAAAGAACCCCCTTTTGGTGAAGAAGATTGCAGAGTCCTTCGGATCTGTTTCCACCAATGAGAAGGAGAATCGGAGTCCTCTTCTTGAGAACTCGATTTGCCCCAAATCTCCCAGACGCGCAGTCAAGCCTCTTTACCCAAACGGAGCTCTGGAAAGTGCGAAATTCGTGTCTGGGGTTGGGAATTTCAAATCTGGCTCTGTTAATAATGCAGAGGTAGGGATTCGGGATGAGAAGATGATTGACAAAGAGATCGAGGAGATTGAGAAGGAAATCAGTTTGTTGTCTTCAAGATTACAGGCTCTGAGGACGGAGAAAGCTGAGAAATCTGTCAAGAATGTGGAAAAGCGAGGAAGGGTTGTGACTGCAAAGTTCTTGGAGCCCAAACAGATCCTCAAGAATGCCGATGAGAGGAAAAAGACTGAGGAGAGATCGAAAATTCAGAGGAGGGGACTCAGTTTGGGGCCATGTGAGATTCTTTCTGCTGTCAAATCGCCTCTTCTTGGCAAGCAAGGGATGATTACCCCAATTCAACCCATACAGAGCAGAAGAAAATCATGTTTCTGGAAGCTTCAAGAAACTGATGAAGAGAACCAGAGAAAGACTGTGGGGAAACCCATCCCTTCGAGGCAGGCAGTGACTACGCTTCCATCAAAGAAAACTGTGAAGAAAGATGAAGTCTTCTTGCAATCTGTCCAACCCAAGAAGCTGTTTGAGAAGTCTGCACCTGCTGCCAACAAGAAATGCCAAAGGGCAGGGAGGATCGTCCCTAGCCGCTATAATCTGAGCCCATCAACGCAGAGGAAGAGATCTTTTCCACCAGAAGACGACAAGGACGAAAGCAAGAGATGCGACAAGAAACGGTCTTTGTCGCTTGGAAAAGTGCTTCTGGAGATGGTGAAGAATCCCGGAGCTGAAATCCGGGTGAAAAAGAGATGGGAGATTCCTGAGGAGATTGTGTTGCATAAGGGATCAGAAGAAGGACCCGAGAGATCCGCGGAAAAGACTTGTGTAGTCATGCCTGATAAATCGCTGCTGCTTCCGAGAATCAATACCAATCGGTGTGTGAAAGAGAGTCCCAGGGATTCTGGACCTGCCAAAAGAGTGGCTGAATTGGCAGGAAGGAAATCATTCTTCAGCAATGTGAATGAAGAAGAAGATGATGATTTGGAAGAGGGGGAGAGAGTGATCTGTCAAGCTTTGCAATTTGCAGATGATGATTAGGAAGAGGTACAAGTAAAATGAAAATGGTTGTTTTCATATTGTTTTCTGTTTTTTGTTACTTTCAGAGGCATCATACTTGAGCTTCTTTGGCTATACAGTTGCTTACACATTGTATGCTGAGTTCAAATAAGTGTTGTATTATTGCTACTCTCTGCTTATAGTGCATACTTTTCATTGTTAAAGAAAGGAAGCTCCATTTTTGTACTTGAACCTTTGCTTTGTGTTCATTTTTTTTATGCTCAAACATTCAAATGATGTCTTGCTAAGAAGAAACAGTCTACCTAAAGGTTGAAAAAACAACAGGAGATATAATTATTTGGAAGCATCAACTAAAGGTGCATCAAAAACTGCATCAAGTGTTGGGTTTGGGCTCCCAACTATGTGTTTTAAAAGTCCATTTGGAGTGTAATACTCAAGCCCAAATTAGTCCACTTTTGATGGCAAATTAAGGGTCTATTTGTTGAGGGGTACAGCTGGTTAGACCAAAGGTGCCTAAAGGGGAAAAAACAGCCGCAAGTGAAAAAGAGGAATCCGCAGCCTTTTTCTTCAAAACGCAGGTCTGGTTTTTTGGTCGATCGGAGGTCCATGTCTTGTCCGATCGACCTGAAATTTTAGGAGTCTAAGGACTTGTGGAGCTTCAATCTGAACGGTGGAGATCGAATTTCAACGGTTCAATCTCAAGTTATGAGCTTCGCACCAGCTGCTGTTTTTTGGTGATTTCAACGTGAAAACAAGGAGATAAAACTAAGATCACGGAAGCATCACAACAATTCCCGATCTATAGTAACACCACGACAATATAACACGTAAACATGAGAGTTAAACCACCATCACCTCAACCATGGACCGAAGGGTCTCGTGGTTTTTTACTCTTTCACATTGAAAGGGTTTTCCACGTTAAAATCTCGTGCCTCATATCGTTTTATTTTTCGTGTTTGGATTATCTTGTTGCTTGGTGTTCTTTGGTGTGTTTGTTTGTTGCTCCTCATAGATTCATTCAAGAGGGAAAGGTGTTGATCTTGGGCACTACATATTCAGTTGTGTTCTTGCTTTCCCAACAAGTAGTATCAGAGCGCCAGAGTAATCTGTTATTTGTTTTGATTGAATGATGGAGCCAAATTACAGCAGGATGATCAGTTTGAGTGGCACAAATTATCACAAATGGAAGGGTAAAGTGAAGGATTTACTCTTTGTGAAAAAGTTGCATCTACCAGTGTTTGCTACTCAGAAGCCAGAGTCAAAAGGTGATGAAGAGTGGGCTTTTGAACATGAAATGGTTTGTGGTTTCATTCGTTAGTGGGTAGATGATAATGTTCTGAATCACATCTACAATGAATCTCATGCTAGATCTTTGTGGGACAAGCTTGAATCCTTGTATGCATCAAAAACAGGGAATAACAAGCTGTATTTGCTTAGGCAAGCTATGAATCTGAGATTCAAGGAAGGTTCTTCTATTTCTAACCACTTGAATGAATTTCAAGGGTGTTTTGATCAATTGTCAGACATGGGCGTAAAGTTCGAGGATGAGATTTTGGGACTTTGGTTGCTGAATACTTTGCCTGATTCTTGGGAAAATCTTCGTGTGTCTTTGATTAGTTCTGCTCCTGGTGGTACAGTAACTATGGAGTATGTCTAAGCTGCCGTTCTGAATGAAGAAGTGAGATGTAGAACTCATGAGACATCTACTTCAAAATCCGATGTCTTGGTTACTGAAAATAGGGGAGAAGCAAAGACAGAGATCATGGAGAATTCAAAAGGGGCAAGAGCAAGAGCAAGTCCAGATCAAAATACAAGAATGTTGAGTGCCATTATTGTCATAAAAAGGGGCATTTGATGAAAAATTGCTTCAAGTTGAAGAACAAAGACAAGAACAAGCCAGAAGGGAAAGATGGTGAAAATGATCGCCATGTTGCAACCACGACGTCAGGTGATCTGATAGTTGTTTCTGATAACGACTTGATTAGTGTTGCCTATGATGAATCAAGTTGGGTTATCGATAGTGGTGCCGCTTTCCATGTGACGTCAAGGAAAGATTTCTTCACATCTTATACTGTAGGTGAATATGGGGTATTGAAGATGGGTAATGATGGTCGTTCACAGGTTGTTGGCATTGGAGTTGTGGTCCTAGAAACCAAAACTGGGATGAAGTTAGTGTTGAAGAATGTCAGACATGCACCAGATATTCGCTTGAATGTGATATCTACTAGTGTCTTGGATGATAAAGGTTATGTGAGTACCTTTGGTGATGGGCAATGCAAACTCACTAAGGGTTCTCTTATTGTGACTCGTGGGAAGAAGTGTTCAGGTTTATACTGGACCAATACTTCAGTCTCTGTTGATTCTATCAATGCAGTTGAGAGTGATAGTTGTTCAGAATTATGGCATAGAAGACTCAGTCACATCAGTGAGAAGGGACTTGATTGTTTAGCCAAGAAGAATGTTCTGTCACGAGTGAAGGATGCAAATTTAAAAAGGTGCGGTCACTGTCCAGGAAACAGAACAGGGTGTCTTTCAAAAATCATCCATCTTTCAGAAAATCAGAGTTGATTGAATTGGTACATTCAGATGTTTGTGGTCCTATGAAGACAAAGACGCATGGTGGTGCACGTTACTTTGTGACATTCATTGATGATTGCTCAAGGAAACTATGGGTGTATGCCTTGAGGTATAAAGACCAAGTTCTTGGGGTCTTTAAACATTTTCATGCTTCCGTTGAGAGAGAAACAGGAAAGAAGTTGAAGTGTATTCACACAGACAATGGTGGTGAATACCTTGGCCCGTTTGATGAGTATTGTAGACAACAGGGCATCAGACATCAAAAGACGCCTCCCAAAACTCCACAGCTCAATGGCCTTGCAGAAAGGATGAACAGGACATTAATGGAGAGAGTCATATGTTTACTTTCAGAAGCACGTTTGCCTAAATCATTTTGGGGTGAGGCTTTGTATACTACTGCACATGTAATTAATTTATCACCTGCTACTTGCTTTACATGGAGATGTTCTAGATCGAGTATGGTCCGGGAAAGAGGTTTCTTATGACCATTTGCGTGTTTTTGGGTGTAAAGATTTTGTACATGTGCCAAAGGACGAGAGATCCAAATTAGATGTCAAGACGAGACAGTGCATCTTTGTTGGCTATGGTCATGATGAATTTGGCTATAGACTTTATGATCCTGTTGAGAAGAAGCTTGTCAGAAGCCGTGATGTTATCTTTATGGAGGATCAAAATATTGAAGATATTCAGAAGATGGAGAAGTCAGAGTCTCAAAGTTATGATGATCTTGTTGATTTGAATCCAACTCCCGTGGCTCATACGCCTAATGCTACCAATGAAGATCAAAATGATGATAGCAATCATGTTCCACATGATTTTGCCGATGGTAATGTTAAAGAAGAATCAAATGAGGTACATAATCAACCTCATGTTGATAACAATGCACCTACAGTTGCTCTCAGGAGGTCTACAAGGGAAAGAATTCCCTCTACTCGTTATTCTACTAATGAGTATGTGCTCCTTACTGACGGGGGAGAACCTGAGTGCTATGAAGAGGCTATGGAGAACGAGGATAAGGATAAATGGGTTGAGGCAATGAATGATGAAATGAAATTGTTGCATGATAATCATACTTTTGAGCTAGTCAAGTTGCCCAAAGATAGAAAAGCTTTGAAGAATCGGTGGATCTATAAGTTGAAAAATGAACAGGGTGCTTCATCTCCACGATACAAGGCTAGACTAGTGGTTAAAGGCTACAGTCAGAAAAAGGGTATTGACTATGAGGAAATATTTTCTCCAGTTGTGAGGATGTCTTCGATTCGAGTTGTTTTGGGTCTTGCAGCCAGCCTAACTTGGAAGTTGAACAGATGGATGTCAAAACAGCATTCCTTCATGGTGATTTGGGGAAGGAAATTTATATGGAGCAACCGGAAGGCTTTGTGGTGAAGGGCAAGGAGAACTATGTTTGTAAGTTGAAGAAGAGCTTGTATGGCTTGAAACAAGCTCCAAGGCAATGATATAAGAAGTTTGAGTCTGTGATGATCCAGTAAGGATATAAGAAGACTACTTCTGATTATTGTGCTTTTGTGCAGAAGTTCCCTAATAATGACTTCATTATTTTGTTGCTTTATGTTGATGATATGCTTATTGTTGGTCATAACTCTTTGAGAATTGCAGAGTTAAAAACAGAGCTTAGTAAGTCCTTTGCGATGAAGGACTTGGGACCAGCAAAACAGATTCTTGGCATGCAAATTACACGTGACAGAGAGGCAAGTAAGCTATGGTTGTCTTAGGAGAAGTACATTGAAAAGGTGCTTCAACGATTTCATATGGAAAAGGCTAAAGTGGTGAGCACACCTCTTGCTACACACTTTAAGCTTAGCTCTAAACAGTCCCCATCTAATGATGCTGAGAAGGTAGAGATGCAACGTATTCCTTATGCATCTGCAGTAGGAAGTTTGATGTATGCAATGGTTTGCATAAGGCCAGATCTAGCACATGCAGTTGGTACAATTAGTCGTTTCCTTTCTAATCCAGGCAAGGAGCATTGGAATGCAGTGAAGTGGATTATGAGATATCTCCGAGACACATCCAGCTTGAAACTTTGTTTTGGAACTGGAAAACCTATTTTGAATGTTTACACAGATTCTGATATGGCTGGAGATATTGATACCAGAAAGTCTACATCTGGTTATTTGGTTACCTTTGCAGGGGGAGCTGTTTCATGGCAATCTAAGCTTCAGAAATGTGTTGCATTGTCTACAACAGAGGCCGAGTTCATTGCAGCTACAGAAGCTTGTAAAGAGTTGCTTTGGATGAAGAAATATTTTCGTGAACTTGGTGTTATTCAGAAGAGGTATGTCTTATATTGTGACAGTCAGAGTGCTATACATCTTAGTAAAAATCCTACTTTCCAGGGCAAATCTAAACATATTGATGTACGTTATCATTGGATTCGAGATGTGCTTGATCTCAAGTTATTGGAGTTTGAAAAGATTCACACAGATGATAATGACTCTGATATGATGACTAAGGCTTTGCCAAAGGGGAAGTTTGAAACTTGTTGTTTGATTTCCGGTTTGGCAACCACCTCCACATAGTCGGGAGAGGGGAGATTTGTTGGGTTTGGGCTCCTAACTATGTGTTTTAAAAGTCCATTTGGAGTGTAATACTCAAGCCCAAATTTTAGTCCACTTTTGATGGCAAATTAATGGTCTAATTATTGAGGGGTACAGCTGGTTAGACATACCATTTACGCACAAAAAGGGGGAAAAACAGCCGCAAGAGAAAGAGAGGAATCCGCTGCCTTTTTTCTTCAAAACGTAGGTCTGGTTTTTTGGTCGATCGGAGGTCCATGTCTTGTCCGATCGACCTGAAATTTTAGGAAGAGTCTAAGGACTTGTGGAGCTTCAATCTGAACGGTGGAGATCGAATTTCAACGGTTCAATCTCAAGTTATGAGCTTCGCACCAGCTGCTGTTTTTTGGTGATTTCTTGCACTTTTGTTCCTCTATTTTGATTCTAGTGCCTTCGTAGTGTTGTTAAGGGCTAGATATAATTGTGGTGCTGTTATATTGTGCATTTGTACTCTCAATTTGGTGGTAGTGGAGTTGGTTGGACCGAAGGGTCTCGTGGTTTTTTACTCTTTCACATTGAAAGGGTTTTCCACGTTAAAATCTCGTGCCTCATATCGTTTTATTTTTCGTGTTTGGATTATCTTGTTGCTTGGTGTTCTTTGGTGTGTTTGTTTGTTGCTCCTCATAGATTCATTCAAGAGGGAAAGGTGTTGATTTTGGGTACTACACATTCATTTGTGTTCTTGCTTTCCCAACATCAAGTTGTTCCTATTATCAATGGTAGTCCACTTCTCAAGAAAATCACTACTAAGTTCTTTCATTTTGCCACATTCCAAAGTGGAAAATTCACTTAATTCTTGTAAAATATGAAGCCATTGTCATATTTCCTTGATAAATTTCATTCAACAACTTTTTTGTTTGGCATATTGAAAGCTCAACATAATAAATAGATTTTCCAAAGATTTGATACCATGAAGAAATAAGATTCATATAAAATTGTTTCAACATAATACATAGATTGTTTCTTATATTTAGATGAATCCAATCTCCTAACTCCCAAGATATATACAAAAAGGAAATACATTGACAACTATTATCCATGTGAAACTAAGAGATAAAGACAACTATATGCTCAGAACTAACAAAGACAAATGAGAAGGAAGAATGAAGTGTATTTCTCTACAATTAGAAATGAGAGGTAAAGAAAAATGTGTTTCCCCTTTTCCTTAACGAAAAAAGAAAAAAATTGTTCTCTCTTACTATTACTTTACTTTTTTCCTTGGAAATGCTAAGGTACTCCAAAATTGTACACAATTTATACACTAAAGACAAATACACACATAATCTCTGAGTTCGAAAAGACATAAAATATTTGTTTTTATCTTTAGTGTACAAATGATTTATAATTGTTGGGGTACTCTAATAATTTTTCTTTCATTTTCATTTTTCACATTTTTTCTATCCGTGCCAAACCAATTTTAAAAACTTAATTTTTACATCATTTTCTGTTCACTTTTTTTCTTTCAAATTCTTGGGGCCAAATATAGTCTCCCTAACTTATAAACATTGACTTTCTTCTTCATTAGAGTATGCATTGTTGGAAAATCTTTATTCATACTTCAACTATTCTAAAATGTCTTTTACATGTGATTGTTTGATTATAACTTTACAAACCTTAATTGTGATTTGTGAACAAAAATATTTAATTACTCCGTATAATCTAGATTTATATAATTGACTTCATATTAAGATGTAGGGTTGATACGAAGTATATCAAATTTTGATACTCTTTATTTATGTACAAATATATTTATTATGAGTAATAGTTACTTTTTGATAGTAAAACTTCTATTCAAAATTAAATATTGTTGATTCAAATTTTAGATAAAAAACAGACCGGATCAATTCTTGTAAGATTTAAAAGCTTATTCTCTAATTATTTACCACCAAGAAAATTACTTAAAAAGGATCAATTAGTACTCATTTGTCCTGAATAAGACTATCTGTTTTATACCCTAATTTTAAAATTTGGAAACTACGTGTCATTCATCACAATCCAATATCGATCACCTATCACAATCGGCAATCATTGTCGACTGTCCAGCCACCACCGCTGCCCATTATCTCCAATAATGTCTTCTACCTTTATATATTGAAGGCCCATTGCACATGTTGTCATTGCAATCTCAATGCCCTCAATCTTCTTTATTAATTGTCTGATATGTTTTATGTATTTTTTATCCATTGAGAAAAAGACCAATGTCTATAGTCTTTAATGTCCTTGTAGTGACGATGATTGAAAATAAGAACACAGAAGAGTGAAGATAATTAACAAAAGTGAGATGTAGAAGATCAAATCTCAAAAATTAACAAAATGGTGATTCTATTTTTTGAAAAACTTGATGGTGTATAAGTAGTGGCTGCCGGCAAGAGCGGCGATGGTGGTGATCTAAAACAATATAATGCAAAGGGTGTTGAAGAATAAGTAATGTTGAATAAGTCCAATGCTGAATAAGTCTAGTATTGACTCAGTATTTTTAGTACTCCGTATTAATCAAGTTTGTTGTCCTATTCTTTAGGAAGTAGCTGTACACTTCTATGGCTTTCCTTCTTTTTAGCAGATATAGTTTCTTTCATGTATGGCCTATAAATTGGCTTTCTTATGGAATAATATATCATCAAGTTCTTCTCTGATTCCTCTGTTGATTTCCTGAGTTCTCCAATTTATATTAGTTTCATATATTTCTTCTTATTAAGGTTGCTCACAACCTGTTTGATAAAAGTTCCCAAAGAAACCCAGTCTACATTTGGTATCGGAGCCACATAAATTCACTGCAGCAGCAATATCAATTGATCCATGGCATCTGAAGGCTTTGTTCAACCTTCTATTCCCCGCTTTGATGGTCACTACGATCATTGGAGCATGTTGATGGAAAACTTTCTACGGTCCAAAGAGCTTTGGGCTGTGGTGGAGACTGGAGCAGCAACTCCCACCGCTGAGATGCCGGCAGACCAGAGGACGAGGTTGGAAGCTTTAAAACTGAAGGATCTTAAAGCTAAAAACTACCTCTTTCAATAAATCGAACGGGCTATTTTGGAGACCATTCCTTGCAAGGAAACCTCCAAAGATATTTGGGAATCCATGAAGAAGAAATGTCAAGGAAATGCAAAGACAAGGAAGCTGCAGCTTCAAACTCTTCGTTCGGAGTATGAATTACTTCGACTGAAGGATGGTGAGAAATTTGCTGAGTATTACTCAAGGACTATGACAATAGTCAACAAGATGCGGTGTTACGGTGAAGAGTTAGAAGATGGAACCGTTGTTCAAAAGATACTACGGTCAATGACGGCAAAATACAACTATGTTGTATGCTCTATTGAAGAGGCGAATGACACTTATGAAATGTCACTTGATGATTTGGAAAGCTCCGTCCTGGCTCATGAAAAGAAGCTGATCTCACAGGACAATGAAAGTGAGCAGGCTTTGAAGGCCTCTGTAAATCACAATTCCTCATCAGGAAACAGAGGTGGTCGGGGCAGAGGTCGTGGGAGAGGAAGAGGAAGCAACTACCAAAGCCAAAATCAGCCAAATCAGTTCCAAGGAAGAGGAGGAGAACGTGGAGGTCATCACTCAACAAACCATAAATCAAGGTTAGTAGACAAATCAAAAGTTGAGTGTTTTCGTTGCCACAAGTATGGTCACTACCAAAATGAGTGCTACACCAATTTGAAGGGGCAAAATGGAGAAAAAAGCAATTTTGCTGGAAAGGAAGAAGAGGTGGCTGAAGAAGTGTCACTCTTAATGGCTTGTCATGTGAAAGAAAATTCTCATCAAAATATGTGGTACTTGGACTTGGGCTGCAGCAACCATATGTGTGGGGATAAGAGTGTGTTTTCTGAATTAGACACTTCTTATCGTGACACTGTGAAACTTGGCAACGACTCTACAGTGGCGGTTATGGGAAAAGGGAGGATCACAATTCAGAACAAAGAGAACTCCACCTACACTATCTCTAATGTTTTCTTTGTTCCAGATTTGAAGACAAACTTGCTAAGTATGGGTCAGTTGCAAGAAAAGGGATACGAGATTTCAATAAAAAATGGAGAATGCCTAATCCAAGATGCAAATCTTGGGTTAATTGCTCGTGTCAAAATGACTGGAAACCGTATGTTTCCGCTTTATCTTCGCAAAGCTGCTCACGCCTGCTTCTCAACAAAGATCAAAGACACCGCATGGCTGTGGCATTTTCGTTATGGCCACTTGAGTTTCAGTGGATTGAAGACATTGTTGGAGAAAAATATGGTCAGTGGCATTCCTAACTTCTCTACCCCTTCTCAACTTTGTGAAGAGTGTGTTGTTAGCAAACAACCACGTACCCCATTTCCTCAGAAGACATCATGGAGAGCCAAGAAGGTATTAGAGTTAATACACTCAGACATTTGTGGTCCAATAAAGCCATCATCTAATGGAGGTAATAGATATATTATCACTTTCATTGATGATTTTAGTCGGAAAATCTGGGTGTATTTTCTGAAAGAAAAATTAGATGCTTTTGGTGCATTTAAAAATTTTAAAGCACTTGTCGAGAAGGAGAAAGGCTGCCCAATCAAGGTTCTTCGCACAGATCGTGGAGGCGAATATCTATCTAAGGAATTCATGACATACTGTGAAAAAGAGGGGATCAAAAGACAGTTGACAGCATCATTTTCACCTCAGCAAAATGGTGTTAGTGAGCGGAAAAATCGCACTATATTAGACATGGTGCGAAGTCTTCTGTGGAGAAGTTATGTTCCAAAGAGTTTTTGGCCAGAAGCAGTCAATTGGGCAGTCCATATCTTGAACAGAAGCCCTACTCTTTCTGCTCAAAATATGACACCAGAAGAAGCATGGAGTGGACAATCACCGTCTGTAGATCACTTCAGAATATTTGGGTGCATCGCCTACGCTCATATTCCCAACCAAAAGAGGACTAAACTAGATGATAAAGCAGAGAAGTGTGTCTTTCTTGGTGTAAGTGCCCATTCAAAGGCTTACAAGCTTTACAATCCTAGAACTAGGAAGATTATTATCAATCGAGATGTGGTTTTCGACGAAGACAGATTTTGGCCATGGGATGAAAATCATGTTGAGCAGTAAGTTTCTGTCAACATCGATGAAAATGATGAAGGTGCACAGGAGTACCAATCTGCAGAGAATGACCAGCAAATTCCAGTTAGCTCAAATATTATTCCTGATTCATCCACAACAACTGGAACAGAGCATCCTCAGCGAACTAGAAGAAGACCAGCATGGATGGCTGATTATGAGGTAACTGGGGATGACCAAGGAGAGGATCCACTTACTCATTTTGTATTGTTTTCAGATTGTGACCCTACTACATTTGAAGAAGCTGCAAATGATCCAAAATGGCAGAATGCAATGAGAGAGGAGATTGCAGCCATTGAACGGAACAATACATGGGAACTTACTGATCTTCCAGAAGGGCA